TCATTAATAATAAAGAAAGGATGGGAACAAAAAAAAAACGTGACCTACCCTAGTAGAATCTCGAAGGCTCTCGAGATCAAGTATCTTGTTGATATGATGAATAGTAGTTTTTTGAATTAGTTAACCAAGTACTCGGATGTTATCAATAGATCATTATCATCAACCTAGAGAAGGAAGGAGGAACGTTGCAAAGGTCTGTGGAGGTAGAATCAAAAGTGCAAGGACCTCAATTTCAAACACCAGCAAAAAGGTGCCAATTGAAAGGGAATACCTCGAGTATTTTGAAGGAGTTGAGAGAGTAATACGAGGATTTTACTACTTGGAGATAAGTGTAGGATCTAATAAGCTAAGATAAACAAAGGGGAGAAACATGAATCTCCGAAGGAAGAGGTACAATCACCAGATGCCAGTAGCTATGATAATAGGAGGGTGTCAGGGTCTTTGTTCCTAAGCAGTGACGAGTCAAGAAACTAAGAGGTATTAGTGGTCAACGCTATTACAACACAGTGATAAGGATCAATGGAAAGCTTAGACTTCAAGAGAAGCTAGGATAGTAAAGGAGGAAATAAGTCAGTTTTAGGGAGTATGAAAGGACGTCAAGAAGTCAATAGGTCAAGGCGGATAGGAAGCATTGTCATGTACAGATGAAGATAAAGGAACCCTTATAGATAAACTACATCACTAGTGAAGAGGGTACATGACTCTAGGGAGTTAGGTCGATGTCAAGCATTTAGAAGGAACAAGGCAAGCAACGAGATGAATGATGTAGAGGACATGCTATGGTAACAGTACGACCACCATTAGACGAGACAAGGAGGAAATTGCCACCAAAGCCTAAAGCATGCCTGATACAAGACAGTGGCGAGCCAATGCGTAAGAAAAGACATGGAATGTGATGAGAATAAATGTTAGTGAGTATTAATAAAGAACTACTTCTCAGCAATGCGTGAGTTGAATATTAAGTTAGCACAGAGCTAGAAAGAGGATATTAGAGACACTACAAACTACCTAGATCACGAAAGGTCAGGAGGTCGTTGGGACCGTTGAAAGGGGAATGCAAGAGTTCGTGATGATCTTTTATGTGGTTGTCCTATCCTAAATGGAGGGAGCACCTAGCCACCTAGGGTTTGTGAGGGGTGACAGAAGGAGGAACTTCCATAGAAAGTTGGAAATAGGGAGCTAAGAGCTGAAGTCTCGAAACTAGATATAGGAGTAAGTCATTAAGCCAACCGAGTATAAAAAAAAAGTAGTAAGTTGAACATTCAATAAATGTTCTAATGAATGGCAGAGAATTCGAGGAAGCACATGGAAGTTTTGATGAAGGATTGGGAATATGTGTAGGTGAATCGGGTTCAAGAAAATGCATAGTGGAGTGAGACGAGGAAAAGCATTACCAAGAAAGAAGAAATCATTAAATTACCTTACCCAAGGTGCCCCACTATGAGTGGGAGCGACATAGTAGGATGTCATCCAGAGGAAATGGCTAGTTAAGGATAAGTAAGACACGTTCAGTTAAGCCACTAAGAACCCAGACTATGAGATTAATGCCATATGCAGTCATCAATCGAGACAAATGACGTGAATGAGGTATGTTAAAGCCTACCCAGGAAAATCCCCTATTGGAAGATTTGACCCAAACAATAACGAGAAGATACTCAACGAAGTTTGGTGACCAAATATAGCAAAGCAACAACGGAAAGAGAACACCATAGGACGTTACAGAAAGAAAATGGTGGTTGTCGACCGGGCGATGCATGCGTAAAGAAAGATAGCTAGGATGGACCGAAGCAAGAATATAACAAACAACAAAAAAAAAACATTAGGTTGATTACCAGTAACGAACAATCAATCCATAGGAAGTCCATCAGGAAATTTTGGCCAATTGTAAGGTGGAATCGTGGTCGTTAAGAATAGTCAAAGGGAGAACTTTATAAGTCAAGGACTCAAGGTACATTAGTAAGAAGAGAATATGAGAACCTAGATGGCTACATCGAGAATAAGGGACATCATCTAGAACTAACAAGGAACATCAGAAAGACGAGTCACGAGTAAGGAAGTAAGATGGATATGAGTTTAGGGAACCTGATGAAATACCCCAAAGTGAAACCAAGATCGTCTATCCTGGTGAAAGGTGGAAATCTATCGTGAGAAAATTTTTGGACGGGGAGACCGTACGAGGAATTTCAGCTAGGGTCTAAGAGTGGCAAAATGGATAATACGTGAACTTTAAATTCAAGCGACGATAAGGAAGTGCTAAGTTAGGCATCAGGAATAAACAAGAAAGCCAATGAGAATGTCATGATTCTAGAAAGAAGTCATAAAGTTGACCGCATGCTAGGGAAAGACGTAAAGTATGTCTCTAGTGCATACAGAAAGTAAAAGCAGTAGTATGAGGCTTCACCGTTAAACAACGACTAACGAGCAGATGGGCATTCAATTTATGGTTAAAGGATAAGACAAGGCATCAAGGAAAAAAGTAAGAGATGCAAAGTTAGGAGATATAAGGACCTAAGTGGCCTATGAGGTCAAATCCGGGCGAGAGTTACGGTAAAAGAGTTTTATATCTAACTGGATAGAGGATAAGCCGCCATATGTAACCTTAAGGTTCAAGAGAAGCATTAACATCTGGTATACCGAATAATGGAGATAGTTATTGTTTTAACATATGTCCGTGATGCAACATAGGTGACGTGAGGGGTTAAGAAACCACCAAAACAGTCAAGTTTGCCAATGAATCGAAGGAAGGATTTATAGGTCATGTCTTACAAGTTAAAGGAAATCCAAATCCTCGGAAAAAAAAAATTTACCACAAGCGAGGCATGGAGAAATCAAAGTGGACATTTTCGAGGGCGAAATTTCTATAAATGGGGAGGCTATTGCCGTCTCCCTGATGAGCCCAAGGCAGGGCGAAACCAATTTGCATGCTTATGCAGAGAGGCTAGTCCAACGACTCTGAACAAAGACGTTGACTTCACAGGGAAGAAGAAGCAGAACTCCCACGACATCGTTTCACCATCAGTTGGAGCCGGGAATCAGAACGACATTGTTTAATCATCGTCTGGAAAACAGAAGCAATGCGACGCCGTCCCAATGACAGCCAAGTGAAGATACAACGCACGTGGAGTGACGCCGTTTCTGGCAAAATGCCACTTAGTCCTCAAACTTGTTAAAACCATCTCTTTTCCTTTTTCGGCTGTACTTGCTTTACTTCCAAGCCTTGTCTTCTTACCTTGTTTTGTAAGGTTTCTGTACTGAATCACCAGCTATATAAGCTGTGAAATGCAATGAGAAAAGCAGGGCTTTAGGGTTTGCTTGATCCACAACGTGGTACTTTGTATGATTTAATGATAATTAAGATGGACTAAAGATGTTTAAAAAAAAGTGTTTTTTTTTGTCCGTTTGATACTGCTTCGATTTTCTTATTTTATGTACTTGTATTCTCGATTTGATTTTTTTTTATAACCCAGGAACCTCAACCCCACATGCCACTTTGTGACAGCGTGATCTACTAAACCTGGGGAGCACCTGTACAAGACACAACATCGGGAGACTTTGTCCCCGGCACTCAGGCATGCCTCCGGGAACACACAAACGACGCCGCTGAGAATCGAACTCAAGACCTCTCACATTCTGAGCCAACCAGATCAACGGTTTCACTGCTAGGCTATATTACCTTTGGCGTATTCTCGATTTGATTTTGGTGTTCAGTTTTCATTATTCACCCACGGTTGACGGTTTACATTACTCTTCGTGTTTTTACTGTTTCATTTTCGCTTTAAGTTTGAGTACTTGATTTGCTGAGTGAGTGGAATCAAAGCCACAAATGGATATAAAAAAAAGACAGATTGTAGCATCGGAGTAATTGGCTAAGAGATGCGGTAGAGACAATACGACCTCGGAAGTTTCATCTTCTGACATTTTTTTGAACCACTTTCTAAAACAGATCAACCACATATTTCGATGATTCAGACCTCGAATGCAGCTGGGAGATTGACAGAGACTTGATTCAGCGACCACTAGTCGACTACAGCTAGAGTTTGGAGCGTCTTTCTTTATTTGGGCTTAATCAGAGGTTGAGGCTATGAGCCCAGTTTATGTTTTGGGCTGGATTTAAGGTTCGGTCCTTTTTTTGATCCTACAGGGCGAGCTTCTCTAATTCCTTACAGCTAGTTTTGTTTGGAAGAAAATAATCACACCCTTTCTTGTGCCAAAAGGGTGGTCTTCTCGCCCTGCTGCTGTCTTCTTCTCTATCAGTATCACCTCCAATTTTCCCATCCTTGACCTTTCGGCCATATGCTACCGTTCAGTGCTCATTTGTACCTGCTATCTTTATATAGTTTGTCGCACCTGTTATTTCTTGAATAATCAAACTTTTGACCAGCCCTGTCTAATTAATCGTGAAAGCCATGCTTTAGAATTGAGATGTGACGTAGATTGTTTTTTTTATGTATAATGTAATGAAATAAAACTGGTCAAAGCATCATTATTTAAAAGGTCATATATGTATGAATCGTTGTTTGAAATAAGGTAATCTACTAGGTGGGAGGTGGCTCTCTAATTTTTGTATTCTCCAACGTTTCATTTTTGAATTGTTGCCATATTTAATTCATGGAAACTTTCTTGTCTCGTTTTTAATACAAATTTAAGACTTTCAGCATACAAATAGGAATTAAGAATTATTGTATGTGTTTCGTGTGTGTGTGTATATGCATGAGAGTATTTATTCACTACGGACTAGCACTAGTATAATTAATAGAATTAAATCCACCATACTCATAAGCACTCAAATAATAAAATTAATGAATAATTTAATAATTAAAAAATATGATGTGCCTTGCATTCCATAATTTCATCTGATGCAAGCTTGCATAGATACAATTATCATCTAAATCAATGCAAAATTACAAATGGATGTCATGGTCATAATGCAATTCCAAATGTAATTCTAATGTGGATGCATGTAACATCGTTTTAAATAACCGTAAAATATAGAACGTGCGAGATAACCCTACATTTTTTATATATAAATCTCAAATATGTGTTACTACAATGTGCTAAACATGGGATAAAAGTTCACCTATATCACGGCGGGGACTACACTTAGCCTCTAGAGGCTTACTTTTCGACAAAGCCATCCCAATTTTAGCAGTCATGTCCTCCACATCCACCCCAACCTTTTCCCATTCAAAACACTGAATCAACGACCCTAAAGCCAGAGACACCAAATTCATCCCCATCCCAGCACCAGGACAAGCTCTCCTCCCCATTCCAAACGGAGCGTACTTGCACCCTTCACCGACGGCGGCCGCGTCCTCCTTCGAATCCACCACTTCGAATCTCTCCGGCACGAACTTATCGGCTTCGTCCCACAGCTTCGGGTCCCTGTGCATCGCCCAGACATTGACCATCAGCGTCGTGTCCTTCGGAACTTGGTACCCTTCCACTGTGCAGTTTTCGGAAGAGCAGTGAGGTAAGAGCAGTGGAGCCGGAGGGTACAGTCTCAGAGTCTCGTTTATCACGCATTTCAGATAAGGAAGCTTGGCGGTGTCGCGCTCGTTTAGCAGCTGCTCGTGGCCGATGTTGTAGTCTATCTCCGCCTTCAGCTTTTGCATAACCCGTGGGTGATCCAGGAGAAGCGTCATTGCCCATTCCAGAGTGATCGATGTGGTCTCTGTTCCCGCAACAAACATCATCTGATCATAACAAAGAGTCAAAAAAAAGATAAGACTTTGTGAAGGGGTGATTTTTTTTTTTTTTTATCTCAATTCTCATAAGATGGATCTTAAGAAACCACCTAGATGAAGATATTAACTACTGGTTTTAAGATATGCACAGGAACTACTATATGCATTCGAAATTTTAAATGGTACCATAGAGATTAGCGAAGTGGCCATAAACTATAGAATTTTGACCAAATTTGAAAAATCGTTTTGACTCATTACTCATTAGTGTTGTTATATGCCTCTTTAATATTTCACCATTATTATTTAGGATTTCAAAATACAAAGAGTTATTATAAATAAAAATCTCACAAAACACCACATTTATACTGAACATTCGAATATGCTAGAGTTGGTCATGGTTCGATGTTGTATCCAGCGTATCTGAAGTAGTAGTTCATTGAAGACCGAAGCGAGCTACACCTTACACCCATAAATGTTATTATTTAGGGTAATGTCTATTTTTTATTCAAACTTTTTTCAAATTCTTTTATATTGTTCAAACCTATCGAAATACTAAGAATTAGTCAATTGTTGACTTTTAATGGGCAATTTTGTTAGTAATATTAACTTGGCAACATGATACTGACTTGGAAGAGACACATGAAGGTCAATATTGCAAAATTTTAGTATTTTAACTAGGGGTGTCAGTTCGGGTCGGGTTCGGTTACCCGAACCGAAACCCGAAAACCACTAAAACCGAAACCCGAAAACCCGAACGCCTAAGAATAAGGGTAGAGTTCTATTCAGTGGAGGTTTTTAGCCGGAACTCGAAAAACCGATAAGAAAAACCGAAACTGAAAAACCCGAAACCCGAAACAGACCCGAACTCAAAAAAACCGAAAATGTATATAATCGGGTCGGTTTCGGGTAAACCCGAAAAACCGAACCCGAATGGACACCCCTAATTTTAACTAAGGAAAAAGTTACAAAATTATTAACGATAACGTAAAAAAAGGCTAATATTTTGATACATTACGAAATATTTGACTAATTAATAGCCTTTAATAGGTTTGGATAATATAAAAAAAATTAAAAAAAATTTAGATAAAAAATAACCATTACCCTATTATTTAGGACCAATCATAAATACTTTCCTACTTAAGAAGAAATCCTCTTCACACACACAACTTATTGCCATCAAAGTCAAACATAAATAAATAAGACATCAAGGAAACGGAAAGGCCAAAAAATGTCACTTTACCGCAATAGAACCATTAACCACGTCGTCGGAGTAAAACTCCGGATCGGACTCTCTCAAAGACAAGATTATCTCCGCCACCGATCTCACCTCTTCTCCGTCGCTCCCAGTTCCCGAATCACCTTCTCCCCGACGACGATGCCGCCTTTCCACAACTCCATCCACCACGCGCCGGAAGTATTCGTCTCTCTCTTTCCTCAATTTCACCATCTTCTTCTCGATCCCTTTGAACCCAACCGCCCTCAAAATCGGAACGAAATCACAAATGTTCATCCCCAAGCTGGGGAAGAACTTCTCCTTAAACTCCTGAAATTTCCCCCTCTCCTCCTCCGTCCCGGCCTCTTCCTCCTCCGCGCACCGCCGCCCGACGGCCAGCCTCATCATGACGTTAATCGCCAGAAGGGACAGCAGAAACTTCAGATCCACCGGTGCCGCCCCCCCGCCGGAGATTTCGGCTCTACCCAGGCGGCGGAGCAGGGCGAAGACCTCTTGCTCGCGGACGGCGGCGGATCTGAGGAGGGTCTTCGGGGAAAATATCTCGGCGACGGTGAGGCGGCGGAGGGCCCGCCATAGGTCGCCGTACGGAGCCCAGACGTAGGCTCTGTAGTTGTAGGTGAAGTGGTCGCCGGCCATGGTTTTGGGGCGGTTGGCGAAGACGGCGTCGTTTTTGGTGAAGCATTCCTCGACGGCGGAAGGGGAGGAGAGGACGAGGGCCCGGCGGCGGCCCAATTTGAGGGAGAGGATTGGGCCGTAGTGGGAGAGGAGGTTTTGGAGGGAGAGATGGAGCGGGGGTTTGACCAGGTGGAGATGTCCGATTAATGGGAGCGCTGTGGGAGATGGAGGCAGGGGAGAATCGTGTTTGATCCAACGGCCGAGGAATCTGTAGGCGAGGAAGCTCAAGCAGAGGGCGATGGCGAAGTAGTAGTATTCTGCTGAGATCTCCATTTTTTTTGGTGGAAGAGAGGAGGTAGATGATTGGTTTACAGGTTAGGAGACTGACATAGAGGAGTGAAGTGATCTAAATTCTAAAGGCAATGGAATTAAATTAATGAAAGAAACTGCAAAATTTTAAGAGATAATGTTGCTGGCTGGCTTGCTGCCTTCCTTGTTGGCTGTTGCCATTATTTTCTTACATGTCGCAATTGATGGGATGGGACATTTTTGTATGAAGAAACTAAGAACTCGATGAACAGCTCATTGATTGAACAAATCGACATGGCTTTGCAATCAAGGTAAACAACATGCATTTTTCAAGCAAATCCAATCAAACGACCTAATCGAAAGAGTATTATATTGGTAATAAGAGAAAAAAAGTATAATATTGTCTTTTCAAGGAGAAAATGAGACTTTCAAACATGCAAAAGTTTGACTTTGATTCCATAGATATATTATTCAAAAAAAAGATTCCATAGATATATAATATAATATCAGCACTCTGATTAGAAAAACTTTCATGCTCTTCCCCTTTCCCCTATTACAGCATCCATCAAAGCTAAGGAGCACCTCCGTCTCCATGAGCTCTATAGAATGATCCAAGAACTCCCATAGTTGAAACTTGAAAACATGCTTCTTCATCCAATAGTTTATATTAGGATACACGACCTCGTTCAACGGATTGAGCAGAATAGTTTCTAGGTTTCACAGTAAGTTCACTTGTTAAAACATCAAATAAATAAGCCACATTAACGTTAATTGCGCCAATTTAATATAGTTGTACCGTCGTACATGCTGATGCAACAAGTTTAGGAATTATCAACAGGACAGTGTGGTAAGTATGCTAGCAGGGGGTGAATGTTCCCATGTATGATACTAATGATTGAACACATCACTTATATGTGATTTAAAGATGACACTACCCCACAACTCATTATTTGTCATTAATTAACATAAAATTAATCTATTATACTATAAACGAAATTCAATTGAAATAATAATAAAAACCTGTCAGCTCTCTTTTCTATTTAAATCTATTCGATTTTAACTGGATCGAAAGGAATTTTATGAATTATTTCAAATAATGGTATGAGGGGGAAAATCATGTGGATAAAGAAGAGGGAGTCCAGTCGTCATGGAAGGAGGCGGATTCCTTAATAGCAAGCAAAGCCCAACCAATGGAGCTGAGACTTTAGGTTGGGCCCTGTTTCTAACCCAGAAAGCCCAACCATCGCACCTTAGACTTGTCAGATGAGTAGCTACAATCTACAGAGCAGCAAAGCCCAAATACAAGTAGGAAAAGAGAGCCATTATATGATTCTGCTTCTCCCTGGCCAGCCACCATCAACGGCTTTTGCTGGTTCAACCATACATCAGTACCAAACTTAAACTACACCGTATGCTCCGTCCGACAGATGTTCTAAGGACGTGCCAAGCGAATTCAATCATAACTCAAAAAAGAAAAACATACTCAGTCTCATTGGGGGAAACTTGTCGATTTCGACACACATATATGCCGCCCTTTCCCTCAACACAAACCCAAAAGGTAAAAGTTTCATTGGTGCAATGTTCTACTATACCAAGTATTTTCTTTCCCTTTCAGCACAGGTTCGAAGGTTTCTTTCTTGGTAAAGTGTGGTCGAAACGAATTAATTTTGTTGTCTGAAAATGTGAATGTTGGAATGGTGAGGATTTGTTTTCTATAGTCGTACAATTGGCGTAATTATTGAGTATCGTTGTTCGATGGTCTATGAATCGAGACATGCACTGATGAAGCATCAAAACTAAATGACAATTAGACTTTGTCGAACAATATTTGGTTTTGGGTTCATTTTGACTTATTTCGTTTACGGTTAACATAATGGTTCTATAGATTCACTTTCTGGCACTCTCTATTATGCGTTGTCTACTAAAACAAGTTAAAAAAAAATCTCCTTGTCCTTGGACCGGTAAACTATACATTTTTGTGTGCTATTTAGCTTCTTATTTTATCGATCGGGGATACAGTATATAACATTCAACGCAATCAGGATATGGTACTTGCAAAGCGTCCAACTGTCGAATCGCGAGTTGGGTGCGTCATATGATCGTTGGATGAAAGTGATGAGAATTTATTTACAAAATTATCTCCCCTTCCATCCAAGAACCACGAAGCGTCCGATAGGCGATTTGACGATCATGCTCTTTCTGCATTTATTTTCTCTCAATGATTTATTTTTATTTTTATCTAAGGATAAAAAAGCGATAACAGCTACCTCAGACTTTATAAAAAAGCTAGTTAGTCTCGAGTGCTCCAACGACTTAGATGCATTGATCTTTCTCTAAAACCCTATGTGCGACGATAACATTTCACTGATCATGTGTATGACAAACATTCTCACCCTTCGCACCGAGAATACCACACGAGCCGCCAAAAATTCAGAGAGTAGTATAATGATCCATAACAGCAAAAGTGATTATACTTACATTAAATACAAAATCGTATACAAATACAACACAATGAAAAAGAAAGAACAAAAACAAGAAAACGTATGGCGATACCAGGAGCAGTAAGTAGGTCTAGCTTCTAAGTAACAAATTCAAAAGAAGATTGAAGAGAGATCCTCCGGCCAAACGAGAAAGGTCGGCCATAATAGTAGAAAAATCAACGGCTGGGATAAACGTGGAGCCACCGATCGAAGGTAAATTATTTCAAACCTCCACGTCATCGTCGTTGACAAACAGAAAAAAGCAGAGGAACCAACGGTACCGACTACCGACCGACCAAAAACCTCCAACCGGCCCCTTTTTTTCCCCCTTCCTTTTTCACTTTCCGGCAAATCTTGGGCACGTAGGAAATCAGCGGTTGTGAAGTGGGTCGGATGCGTTCGGCACTCTTCTCTCGCTGGAGATGAACGTATCGAACGGGAACCGCTGCTGCCGGCGGTGAGGCTCTTCCTCTGTTTTCGGCGGCGGCGTCGCCTTCTGTGTTTGATTACCAGCATAGACAGTATCTGTGTTGTCGGCTGCTGAAAGGCAGAGTAGAAGTAAGAAGACCAGAACCGTCACCGGCTTCAGCAATGCACTCCCCTGCATTTTCAATTGGAGACAGAGAAAAAACAGAGGGTGGGAAGAGAAGTAAATTAAGAAGGCGGTAATGGACAGGAGAGCGATCAAAAGGGGGCAGAGGAGGGAAGAAGAAGAAGAAGAAGACAAGCAGAAGGTGGTGTGGTAGAAAGGAACAAAACAAAAAGGCAATTTCTTTCTTCCTCCGCTTTCCTTCCTTTCTTTTTTTATCTCTGCACGGCAGGAAATGAAGAAAAGCTACATGGCTTTGTGGAGGAATTGAGATAAATTAAAAGGAGGAGGAATGAATAGGTGAAAGTGATTGAATTGAAACCCTGCAAACAAGGGACACTACTCACGATGGAACTTTTTTTTTTTTCCCTTCCCACCACCCTACCCTCATTTTCTCCTTCTTTGCCACAGTTTCTGTTCTTTTTTCTTTTTAACGCCATTGTTGCAATTCACGAGGACTTTTTTGGCGGGCATGGGTTTGCTCGATGTTAGCTTTATTATCGCATAATTCAGTCAGGCTCAGGGGGAGAGGCAGTCTGCCTAAAAGAAGGTCAGTCAGTCAGTCACTCCACGGCCAAATTTCACCATGCTTGCTTGCTTTCTTTCTTTCCTCCCATGTCCTCTCTCTGTTAGGGTTTAACTATTTATATTAGTGGAGTGTACTAATCATCATCATCGTGTCACCAAAGTGGAGGTCTATCCACTGAAAACAAGTTTTTAAAAAGGGGGTTAGCAGGTAATTTCATTTTATATTGTTAGCTATTAGAATGTTGTTAACGATAGGTCTAAAAATTACACTGAAAGCCGTTAAGGGTTGATATGATAATAGAGGTAAGATTTCAAAAAAAGAAGGTTTGATCAATGGAGCAAATTTCGACAAGTCATCTCTCTCATAATAACGATTGAATCTAAGTAACAAGCCGAAAAAGAAATACTTCATTTCTTACCTTTCATGTTTTCAATTTATTGTTGAGTAAACTTATGATGAGTGTGTAACGGTTCCGCTTCTGGTTCCCTTACTTGGTTTCAGATCTTAGCGGTACGATAACAGTCTTGTTCTATCGCCGCGTAATCCCTAATCGATGATTCGCTGTGATGGGTCGTCTTCGAACAACTATCAGGAGGCGGGGCCTTATGGTGTGATTTGGTCATTTTCCATGGTCAAAGCCTGTATTGGACGAGCTGAAGTTGTGTTTGATGTCACTCCGATGAAAGAGGTTGCCAAGAGTCTTTCAGAATGCTCTGTAATTTGGCTATATATCTGTTTTTTCGTTGTTCAGTTCGTTCATTCTTTGTTTTTATTTCGATTTGAGCTTCACCTTGTGGTCATTGTGTGCTTCTCTCTATGATGACATTGTCTCTCTTGAATCTCAATCTCATGTTGGTGTCCCCTTTTTGAAACCGATTTCATCCTATGTGCAACCTTACGAAATGACTCAGCCAACCAAATCGGTAGGTTTTAACAAAACCCTTCTCTTCAATCCATCTCGTATTATTCTATAACTAATCACTATTCCAATATTTGAGAATATAATATTAGGATAAACATGCTCTTAAATGGTGATAATTAGTTTTGTCTTGGCATGCCTTGTTGTATTTGTATTGTCTGGCTTTGTGAAGTAGTCGGGTCCTCTACTCCTTTTGCACTCTTCGTAGGCTTACTCCAACTAGCTAGGGCCAGACCCTTATCCCTCTCTGCCCTCTTTTTCTGCTTCTGTACCTAAAAAACAGTGAAATCAATCACCAAAGAGCAAAAGGGTTTCCTTTCCCACCCAGTTTTCATTCCTCTCTCTTATGATTCTATTCTTTTCTCCTTTTTTCCCCCCTCACACTGTTTGGGCTTTTTCCCCATTTCGTACGTAGATTCGATTCGCTCGGCCTGTAGTCTTTATTTGCCCATTGGAAAAGGTCACCGATTTGGGCTTTACCTGCAGGCTGCAGCAGCTCTTGAACTCAAAATCCAATTCTCTCATATTGCCTGGGCTCAAAGTAGATGCTTGCTTGAGTGGTCAAATCAACACCAGATTTTCCCTTTGTGTATGAAAAATATGAATCCATCCGACATGCATGCAGCCAAAAACAAAAAAGGTGGGAAACTCAAAAGTTCCCTCTTTTGTAGATGGGAGGTAAAGAGGTTAACTGTTGGGTCCTTTGAACTTTGAAGTACCCTTTCATTCCTGCAGCTCTCAAGCTCCAGGCAAGCTATAACTTTGAAAAATCGTGTCGAACGTCCTTTTTCTTGTGGGATGTTCATTGACAAATTTTGATACATGGAACTCGGCATTTACGTATTAAGATGTTATTCGATCTAGTGTTTGAGATATTTCATTCGGTGTGTATTAATTGTTGAACAAAACGGCTCAGTCTTCTGCTCACTAAAGCGCTACGACGACGTTTTAGCGCTCTTTCTCTTACACTAAAATGACACAGTTTTTATCCAAGGAATCATCCTTCAAAGTCAACACTGGACTCCTCGATTGCTGATTTCAGATCAGCCCTCTCGTTCATCTTCCTTCTCTCAAACTGCTCCAGCCTTTCTGCAATCCGCTCCACCTCGCACCGACTCTACTAGAAAGGCATGATGCAGGCTATAGGAAGGCGCTTCTCTAGGCAACGGTCTTCTCTTCTCCTCGGTATAAATTGTAAGCTCCTCCAGTTGATTAAGCTGTGTACTTCGATAGGTAATTGTGAGAACTTCTGGGTTTGAATCTCTCAATTTGGATCGAAGGGTGAGATCACTCTGGTAGATAGAATCGCAGTGTATGAGTTTGTACTGGGTGATTCAATCTTGGGGAGTGAGTGCTTTGAGTGTTTCTTTCTGTTCGAAAGAGCCAAGTTACTTGGCTTGGCTAAGTCTCGTTGTACTGAATTTTTCCATTTGAATAAAAGCTTCGTTTTAGTTCAAATTCTAGAGAGTCATTAAACCTAATCTGTTTTGTGACTCTCTATCATTACAATACTCTGAGTCTACAATTGGTATCAGAGCAGGCTCTTTGAAGGACTCACTGTCGCCAAAGAGAAGATCCCAAGATGTCTGGATCATCCTCAAGTGGTGTTGCATACTCAGCGAATACTAACCCTCCATGGTTTGATGGGACTGACTATACAGTCTGGAAGAAAAGGATGAGGATCTACCTGCGTGGAGTGGATGGAGAACTGTGGGCAGTTGTAAGAAAGGGACCAATACCTGTGGATGATGAAGATGAAGAAGACTGGAAGGAAGATCAGAAGGTCTCCTCCCAACTCGACTCAAGAGCCATGCACATCCTGTTCTCTGCCTTGTGTCCAGAAGAAAGAAGCCAAGTTGCTCAATGTGAATCAGCAAAGGAAATCTGGGAGTCTCTTCAGACTACCCATGAAGGTACGTCTGAGGTTAAAGAAAGTAGGATAGATGTATTAATAAATGAATATGAATCGTTTGAAATGAGTTCAGGAGAATCAATCTCCAGTATGTACAAAAGATTCAATGACTTGATCAACAGACTAAAAGGATTAGGGAAAGTCTTTGAAACCAAGGATTTAGTCAGAAAAATACTAAGAAGTTTACCTAGAGAATGGTTGCCTAAACGTACTGCAATTAAAGAGGCTAAAGATTTAAAAGTCCTATCTATAGAAAGATTAATAGGATCACTACTAAGTCATGAGGAAGTCATAATACAAATGAACAAAGATGATCATAGGAAAAGAAAAGTCATAGCTTTTAAAGCACAAGAACGAGATAGTGACTGTGAAATTGATATGGGAGAGGAGTTTGAGAAAGAATTTGCCATGATTAGTAGGAAATTTCATCGAATACTCAAAATGAAAAAGGATTTTCAGGCAAGAAAATCATTTCATGATTCGAGAGGATTTAACAACAACTCCTATGATTACAAAAGAGATAGGGAAGAAACCGAGAGAACTCCTAGGACAAATGAAAAATATGCTTCAAACAGGAGTTATTTTGATAGAAATTCATCGAAATCTTATGATAAACCACCTGCAAGTCGAGAAAGGTTCAGATTTGATAAGGAAGACGCCAGGTCTTCCAATGAGAAAGATTTGACCATTTGTTTTAAGTGTGGAAAATCAGGGCACATGAGATCAAAGTGTCCTACTAGAGCAAAAGAAAAGGCACTTGCAGCTTCCTGGAGTGACTTCAGTTCAGAAGAAGAGCAAGATGTAAAAAATCTGGCATACATGGCTTTTGCCACCAGAGATGAAGGTGATGATCAGTCTTCATACAGTAACAGTCCATTAATGCCTTCATGCTACCAGGTAATCTCTGACTCAGACTCAGATGTAACTGAAACCAAAACCGAGTTTTTGCATGAATTAACTAATCTTCAAGAGGAGTGTAATAGACTTAAAAGTAAATATTGTATGCTTATGACTGATAATCAAGCGCAAAAAGATGAAATTGATATGCTAAAAAGAACCTTGAATGCTCAAAGTGATTGGAATAAGGAGCTGAACAAACACTTTTTTATCTCAAGGATGAGAATCAAAGGCTAAGAGGTATCTGGAAAAACAACGGCATCTCCTCCAAACGAGAATCTGGCATGACAAATACAAGAAAACCATCTCAAAATAAAATCACCATATATAATCATGAAAAGTATAGAAGGAATACAAGATATCCTGTAGTTTTTACCTGTTCTTATTGCAAAAGGAAAGGACATATAGCAAAATTCTGTTATGATTTAAATCCCAAAAAAATTAGGGTATCCAAAACATTTTGGGTACCAAAATGCACTAATCTCTGACTGATTGCAGAATATGGGAGAAAATGAGAACACATGGTATCTTGACAGTGGTTGCTCCCACCACATGACAGGTAAAAAGGAACTCTTTTCATCATTAAGCTTTAAGAAGGGAGGTAAGGTAGTGTTTGGAGATGATCGTGTAGGAATTATTATGGGAAATGGAACAATTGGTAAAAGTCCTC